TGTAAGTGAGCTACGCCTACGCTATTTTTAATATAGTTTTTATTTAATTATATTAACGTTATTAAGAACATATAATAAATACTTGGGCTATTATTATGGGTTATATAAGTATTTTTTTAACACATATATAATAGTAATAATAGCTAGACTATTAATTAGTCTCGGCGAATAATAGAGTAAAATCTATTGGTGATAATACTAGGTTTCATCGAAGGAAATTATTTTAAAGTAAACGAAACGTTGTCCGAGTACCGAGTCATCACCTTCTCAGGTGAGTGCATGGTCCCTTTCATCTTACACATAGATATGAAGTATTTATTATATAATTTACGTGTTGTGAGTGCATGGTCCCTTTCATCTTACACATAGATATGAAGTATTTATTATATAATTTACGTGTTGTGAGTGCATGGTCCCTTTCATCTTACACATAGATATGAAGTATTTATTATATAATTTACGTGTTGTGAGTGCGTGGTGCCTTTCATCTTACACATAGATATGAAGTATTTATTAATATAAATTACGTGTTATGTGTGCATATTGTCTGAATACTTGTTGTCTATGCCGGTGAAAGATTTTTATACATGTTTTAAATGATGTAAACTGTATAAAGTATTTTATATCTACAAAATATGTTGGGTAAAACATGGGTAGATGAATGATGATGGATAAAAGCTGAAATAGAGGAACATTACTAGTACAGACCTAGTGCCCTATAGGTATACATTGGCAGCAGTGGACCTAGTACCCTATAGATGAGCACTGGCAGCTGCGCCACAACCCGTAGATGATTTAGATCTACGGTAAACATCCTAGCAGCTGCGCTCCAAGGATAGTATCGGCAGCTGCGCCTAATAGGGAGCCTTATGACCATGACAGTAGTGTTTAAAGGTCAATACCGGCAGAAGCGCCTCATAGAAAATGTCCTAATTCTGGTAGCTGAGCCTAAGTGACAATATTAGCAGCTGCGCTTGACCAATGTGTCATTGGCAACAATGGACTTCATGTTGTTTCCTTAGGATGATCCTTAGGAATGAATGAATGAGAAATAGCTGATTCTTAGGGTAGATCCTTAAGAATAAAGAAGATAATGGGGATGGGTAATTGGGTTGATTGTTTGATTGTTTAAACATAATAATTATATTATTGTGGGTTGAAAACCCTATGTACTCACCAGGTTCCCAACCTGACCCACTCAGTTTATTTATATCACAGGTGTTGATATGAAGTGACATTACACTGAGAGATTTAAAGAGATGTAGATCACTAGTGTAAATAATTGTAAGTTCTGTTTATGCTTATGTTTCTGTATTAACGATGACGTCCCAAACGTTTTAAAATGAAATAAATACGTTTCTTCGAAAATGTTTTAATAACGTATTTACCATGTTTTTCTGGGAACAAATTCCGCAATAATTTTATAAAATGAAGTACTCTGATTTTTATAAAGCATAAACAAAATCGGTCTTTTCTGGCCGTGAAAATGGGGATGTCACACTGTGCTCGGACCGAACATGGTTTCGGTTTTATATCAATGAACTTGGAACGAACTTGGATTCGTTTATTTGAGCTTGGAACGAAAGTGGATATTGGAATCGTATCTGTAGTTTCGCTTGTGAACATTCGTTTGTAATCACGTTCCAGTCACATTCGTTTATCACACATAAATTGGGGAAGAAGATATCAAGTTACATTAATGGTCCCTGAAACTTCAACGAAATGATACTTCTGGTCCCTATTGTTTTCACAACTTGGTGATTATGGACGATTTCCAGATTTTGTCAGAAATAAACTGGAGTATTGATGCAAAATTACAATTTCAGTCCCTGTTTTTCAGCAAGTGAAAATTTCAGCCCATTTTTCGAAAAATTTGCAATTTTAAGGGCCGGTGAACAGTTTTGGATTTTTCAACGCTCATATTTTTTCGTGAACAGCAAAATAATGATTCCATCAAGTCTTGGCGGTTCGGAAAGTCGTTTTTCGTGATAACGTCAAATTTTCACGATTTTTTCGGATTTTATACTTCATTGTGTATATCTTTTTGTCGCGGGGGAGCATAGTAATTTTTTATCCATTCAAGATCATTCTCATGACCATTTGAAGGCTTTATAATCATGTTTTTGATTATAAATCGGGGGAGAATTTGGTATGGCCTTTCGAAATTGGATTTGTGACTTTTCAAAGTTGATGATTTTTTATAAAGCTTGTGGTAGAATTATGAAGGTAGCTTTTACAGCGGAATTTCTTCATCGAGCTCTGCTAAAGCTTCTAAAGAGAAGTATCCTTTACAGCGGAAGTTCTTTATCGAGCTCTGCTAAGGACTTGTTATATCTCCGACTTCTTGTATTTTCTCGATCAAGTGGCGTTACGAATCATAAAGTTTGGGTTGTTACATGATATTTTTTGATGGCTTATATCATTAGCTTATTTGAAGATCATTGTGACTTGGAGGGGGAGCTCTTCAAAGACAAGAAGTGATTCGGTTTCTTTGTTCTGAAATGGGTTTTTATGGCGGGTTTGGTTTTCATGAAGATTCTTTGGGATTACATTCGAAAATGAAGTTTAAAGACATTACTTCAGTACCTGATTTATATATCCTAGATCCCGTGTTTGAAGATTATTGAAGAATCAAGATTCGTGGATTGCTTCATATATTCCTCGTTGCAGATCTTTTTATTTTCCAGATGCTTGTTTTGGAAGTTAAAGCATTGCCATCCACTCCATACTTTGAGGGGGAGATTGTAGGGTTTCAAAGCACTCCATGGATGATGGCAATGGGCCCCTTTGACGAATTCTAGGTTAAAAGCCCAAGACTTGTCTTTTCCCTATAAATAGTCATGTATTATTCATTATTAGGGTCAAGAGAGTGAGGCAAAATGTAGCCACCACGTTGTGAGGTTTCTTGTAGAGTTAGATTCTTATTTCTTAAGTGTAATTTGTTCCTCACAATTCAATAAATTGAGTGATCATTCGACATAATCTTCATATTTGTGTTTGTTCTTATTTTCCGCATCTTGTTCATCAAATCTCAATTAGGGTTTTAATCCCAACAAAAAGTATTTGAATGTTGACCACTACAGTCAAACCTAGGCAATTTTGTAATTATATCTGGGATCAATATAGCCTGATCAACTATATTTATTTGAGATACGACGAACATGTGTTTGGGAGTGATGGTAGTGTTGCGGCAGGTCTAAAACTTACCAACTCTACATATACAGAAGAACTCTAGAACAAAACATAAAGTTAAAATACTATAGGAGTATTTTAGGCACTATATACTAAGAACAAGTTACATGAAAACAAAGGACTCTTGCTAATAGTTCTATAAGTACTAAGTGCATGCATTATGGTTATATATGACTAAGGTTTCATAGACTTAGAATGAGTGGTCTAAGCTTTACTTCCTTTTCCTTGTTTGGATGTGGATATAGAGTAGGAACATTTATTCGAAGGTCTATTCGACCCGAGTTGTATATAATTAGTATACACTATGTGCTTGTAGAAGGACCCAGTAGGAGTCATATAGTATAGAATACATTATCTGTTAACTGTAAGTATCTCTTATAGAACCTTGAAATTGTTTACTCGCTTCTATTAAATTATTAGATATTTCTTATATCCCTATTCTCGCATAGATAACAGTGGTTGGATTCCATCTACCTGGAGACTAGTACTTTCCCAATAAAGGGAATGGAGGATGGCTCGACGCCGAACCAGAAGATGATCCTGTAGTTCCCACAGAATAGGACTTTGAAGAAGACTTTCCCGAAGATGCTGATTCATAAGCCTATAATCCACCTCAAGCTGCCCAGAACCCCAATCCTCGACAAAACTTCCAAGGCCCGACGCCTCTGTGGGCAATAAACTTGGACAGGTGGAGTGACAAGCAGAGTCAGAACCATCCTTACCAAGGAGACCGAAGCTTCTACAATATTGAAGCAGAAGGTTCAGAAGATAGATCCCTCCCAGTGTTAGTTTGTCGTGTTGCGCATAACAATGAACAGGGAAGAGTTGCCATCGACCGAGTCATGCAGGTTGACGTTGCCACTGGAATCAACAATGTTCGCCTTTGCAACCTAGAAGACAATCATGGTGCAACAAGGGATCATACTAATTTCTTGCAGAGAGAACCGGCGGCATCCCAAGCCTAAGTTAGAGAGTTGCAAGAACGACAAATGACACAAGAAAGGCGTATGTTCGAAATAGAACGCTAGGTAGCCAAATCCATGGACGGATCTAGTAGAAAGTAGATCATACTCTACTTACTCTTTTGGTTATAATTTAAGTCTCTAAATATGTCTTAGTGTTATTTTTCATGTTTCTCAGTTCGACCATGAAAAATTCATTTTCAGTAGGTCAGTATGATGTCGATGTTTTTCCCAGTATTGTGGTATATTGTAGACCTACTTTAAGGTCAAGTTTTCCAAACTCTATGTATTTAATATACCAATACCAATCGACATGCATTACGTCTCTTTTGAAAAATAACTATTCAAGTTCATGTTATCCTTTCTACACGATGTTACTTGTAGTAGACTTTTATTACCAACTCCTTACAGAAGTCATGGTGAACTAAATGTTTTTAGTTCAGAGATATCAAACTCATATTCATTCTTGATATTCTAATATCTTTTCATCTTTAATTCTTAAAGTAAAAGATGCATCCACAGAGAAACCCAAGATGTATCAACGTTAATGTTACGCCAGCGCCGCCTCCGCCAGCACCTCCCCAATTTGACGCTACGATGTTTCAGGCAGCGATCACTGCAGCTGTAGCAGCTACAATGTCACAAATGAATAACACGGGTGCTAGTGGATAAGGGAGTGGGCACACTTGGATTTGGGATTGGCCTGCTTGAATATTCTAAAATTTTCTATTTTCTCAAACATTCCACTAATCAACCCCGAAGTATAGGTCCATAAATATGTACCCCATGCAAACCTGGAATTTTCAATTTATTTATTATAACTATTATTGTATTTATACACAATTTTTAAATGTAATACCTGTTCCAATCATCTATATTATCAGCAAGCTTGTATATTGCCGCGGGAATGCCCTTTTTAACATCCCATCCGTGGAGACCTTTCAACATAAGAACAAGTTGGATAAGCATTACAGCATCTTCACCCTGAAGTGTCGAATAATTCGGAGACATAATGTAGTCTTCTAAATCTTTGAGCCACAAACGTGCATCTATAATGTCTGGGAACAACCGAGCACGAAGATTTGAATTTGACCAGCCTCTTTCGTCGTGGAGTAAATCCACATAAGGACCAACACTTACACCACAAATAAAAATATATTCAGTTTCACCTAAATCCAACTGCATCCCGTGTATCTCAAAAAGAAACCTCCATATTTCAAACACTTGTTGAGACCTTACTTCATCCAACATCATCAAATGCACAAGTAAGGGGTCACCATAGGGGACATGCATTCCTATGAATCTTCCAAACGGAAAAGCTTCAAATAATACTCGTTGCGATTGTGTTAGGCGTGGAAAATAGTCTTTAATGATCGTACCAACCACGCCTTTTAAAGTTAAATCTGCTTTTCGATCGAGATCATCATGCTACAAAACATATACATTTAATTTAATATAAAACGTTAGTAATTGAAAATAAAAACAAGGTTTCAAAATTTCTTTTCTAATTCGGTATATGAAATAAATAGCAATGCACTTTTTATTTAACAAATAGTTGATATAAAATGGTAGGAAAAACAAGCATTTAAGGTCATTTCGCGGATGTTAGAGATCATTCCGCGGAGACCCCTCTACGGAGTGACGTATACCTCCGCGGAGAGACATTTTGCCCTTTTTGAATCATTCCGTGGAGAGAATACGTTAATTCGCGAAGGTCCCTCTGCGGAGTGACCTACCCCTCCGCGAAATGGATCTTCGCAAATTCAAAACCAGTGCATCCTAAATCTAAATATGTACATATTAAAGGTTATCAATTTCATTCGTAACATTTGAATCTTAAATATGTACAATACGACATTGATCCAAAGAGAGAAACGTGAAAAATACCCGAGAGTTGTATCCATCGGCGAAAATATTAGGGAAATTATGCTCCATCGGTGTTGGATTCTACTAGTTCAAGTCGCTGTTGCTGGAAAATCGAAAAAATCTACCGATGGGGAGACACGAACGAAAAATCAAAGTGGAAGAGAAATCGGGGGACCAAAGAGGAGAGCCATTTTTGTCAAAGAGGGGAGGGAAAAATTACAAAAATAACCCCACTCCGCGGAGAATTCATTGTTCCGCGGAGCCCATAGAGGGTCCTCCACGGAATGCATGTCTAGCCGGGAAGGTCTGTTTTTGTGACTAAATTTTGAAATACCCCCCCCCCCCCCCCACCAAAAAAAATGTCTATAGCTGGTTTTTCCCTAATAATAATAATAATAATAATAATAATAATAATAATAATAATAATAATAATAATAATAATAATAACAACAACTAGATGCGTCCCCCCGCGATGCGGGGGTTGGTTGGTGTTGTTTTTGTGTGCAAGTATATTATATTGCCTTAATTGGTAGCCAGAGTTAAGTATGTTGTCATTCTCTGCAATTCGCCCTTTTACAAACACAGTAAAAAAATGAATGTACATTAGTATTTTGATGCTTAAAATGGTAAAAATAAAGGACATTGAACTTTCCAGAAAAAAAAGGATCCAAATTACAGAAAACTAAACATTAAAATGAAAATCCATTTCCCTATTTTGATATAAGATATGTCAAATTCCACTACGATCTGTTAGAGTCCAAGAGAGTGCTATGGGACCGCAATATCCTTTGTTCAATCAACCACTTCCTTGTCCGGTACAAGCCTCAATTCCACTGCTTGCTACTTATACCCTCCAGCTACTGCAACAACCGTATTTTGCATTAATTGCACCCACCCCGTAATTATAAATTAAAACTACACTATTCATCATGAATCGTGCATTTTATGTGGATAGTATTAGTATTAGTAGTAGTACAATATCTAGGTCGTTACCGACCTGAATGATGATCCCATAAGAACAAAAGTAATCAGACTCTACATCAACAAATTTGGTTCTTATGTTCCGAGTTCAAAACCAACTTTGTTTTTGTCGGAGGCTTTGTTGTTCCAACTCAATACCATTTTTGAAAAAATAAATAAATAAATAAATAAATAATAAGGAAGATCTGATAAATAGTTTCTTTTTCATGAAAAGAAATAGCATGTGTGTCAACTTATCTCCAAAAGTAATAATAACATTTAAGTGTTACATAAGCCATTTCTTAATAGTTAATAATAGTGATTACATATTTCAAATAACTAATCTGTAATTGTTCAGTGAAAGCCATCTGTGAGCGTTGATTTACAAATTATAAATTAGTATCAAAATTGGAAGTTATTAAAAGATAAAAGTTTAAAAAATGAGACTAAAACACCTTAATGTGAAGAAGTCCATCAAACTGAAAGCATTTCATCACAATATCTGCCCGAATGTTCAAAGGCTATGGATTCATTATCTAATGCTCAAAAAGTATATAGTAGTCACTGCAGAAAAATTTAAGTATGTCAATCGATAAAATGATGAAAATACAAACTATTATCAAGCATTATAGGAGTATAACAAATCCAAGGAAACAATTATTCATACCACACAATTAGCCTGCATGAACCATCATTATATCAATTTAAAACTCCTTCCATCTAACCTGAATTACGCAGCCAATGAATCCGTGTAACACCGTAAAATTTAAAACAATTTTTCACATTTTAAAACACATTTTCCAAACACATTTATTAACAAAATCCCATTGTATCATATCTTTGTTTCACAAATTATTTCCCAAGATCAAAATACATAAATCACATGTGTGTGTACGAATCATGTCAGCGTCTTCCCGCGATCATCACTGGTACCTGAAACACATAACACATAACACTGTAAGCATAAAGCTTAGTGAGTTTCCCAAAATACCATACATAACACATACTAGCCACTCGAGGCTATAACTTTGTGGGCCCTTGGGCCCTAACTCTGTGGACCCTCTGGTCCTAGCTCTGTGAACCTTCCGGTTCTATCTCTGATATACTCTGATATACACATGGCATAAATCACATAGAAATGATGCAGTGCAACACAACACATAAGTAACATACAATAACTTTGTCACATAACTCTAATTACCACTCAAGGTAAAGTATAGTGAGAAGACTCACCTCAGATGTCTCGGTAAATCTCTGACTCGGTAGAATACGATCTAGCCTCTGCCTAATCACATAAAGTAATACTCTCATAAATATAAATCTCAGGACTAGACTCAACCCTCTCTTGGCACCCTTAGAAGGGTAAAAGACCATTTTACCCCTCTTTTGGCTCAAAGGCCCTCATTGTTGACCAAACCCTAAAAATCAACCAAAGTCAACCATCAAACTTTGACCCGACTCGTCGAGTGCACTTGGGCAACTCGGCAAGTCTACATGTGTCCACTAACTCCCTAGTCTTGTTTGGCATGTCGAGTCCCGCCCCTTGCTCGACGAGTCACACCTAGCATGAATCGTGGGGCTACCCCAACTCAACTCGCCGAGTCTCAAGATCAACTCGATGAGTTATGCCTTAAACTCCAGTCCTCTAATCCCTCTTTGACTCACTGAGTTATTCCCCCAACTCGGCGGGTCTACTTACTGAGTGATTTACGGGAAACCCTAACCCTACTCACCGAGTCTGCCCTTGGACTCGGCGAGTTCATGCCATGCACAAACTCAAATGACCTCCTGAGGTTAGATCTGTTCCTTTGGTCCATAGATCTGACCTTCCCAAGCCTGATAAACACATAAAGCTCGAAGCTTGACACTCATGGGACGTCTAGAAGGTTTCACTTGATGATTTAGCCCCCAAAACAACATCCTAAGCTCAACACCTCTATAGCTCAACATAAAGAAAGCTGAGATAAGCTATTTAGACCACTATGGGTCCAGATCCGAAATCTCAAAGTGAATAAGGGCCATGTTCTCACAATTTCTTCCATTAAAGGACATGAAAACTCTACATCTATGGATTCCTTCAACACAACAGATAAAGGGGAGATATATTACCTCAAAGATGAAGTCTTTAGCTCGAAATCCACAGATGCACCACCTCCTTGGTCTCCTCTAAGTTGGAAACACCTCCTTCTTGCAAGAATCAACCACAAAGATCAAGAAATGGCTCCTTTCCTCTCACAATCGCTCTAGCTCTTTTAGGGTTTCTCTCTGGGGTTTGGTAGCCGCAAATGACGGCCCTAAGAGCCTTTAAATAGGTCCCAAACCCTAGAAATTAGGGTTTCATTAAACAGTGTGGACTCGCCGAGTCCACTCATGAACCCGGATGAGAATCTGCGACCCTACTCGACGAGTTTAAGCACCAACTCGTCGAGTCCCTCCACAAACTCCAAAATAAATGAATAAAATAATATACCTGGGAATCCGGATGTTACAATCCGAATTACAAAAATTAAACAACTTTTATATAATTCATTGTTAGTGACTTCAGTTGATATGTTCATTCAACCACCACATCGCTTTCTTTATTGATCTGTAACATGTAAAAGCTAAAGATTAAACTTATATTGAAGTCCAACATTGAAAGATCTTTCACTCTTGGTCCTTATTTTAAGGTTTCATATGGATTTGGGTCCCTCAAACCTTGAAATAACGATCAAAACGGAAAAGGGGTTCCATTTTGGAGTAAACATGCTAAAACAAAGAAATCGAAAGGACCATTTTTTTAATTTACTCTATTTGCTAATAGTAGAAATTTTTGATGATACCTTATTCACAACAATCACATTATCAGCATCAAATTAAGCATTATATCAGAATAAGCAAGAAACATACGATCAATGCAACCTTATATTATGTTCTCCTCAAGCCTCCTGAACATGTTTTTATATTTAGTATTTACTATGACATCCGAAATGTGTTGCAAAATGAGAGGTTTATGATAGACCTGGATATGTTCTGGCTGATGTGCAGTTTGCACTTATATGACCACCTTCACGACGATTATAGCAATTTCCCTGGTTGTTATCTGGTGGATCAAAATACATTGTTCCCCTCTGAATATGTAACGCCCGTGTTTCTACGCTTGCCATTTTTAGCAATGTAATAGTCTAGGTTAACCTTTGTAACTCAATTTGAAATAATAAGAATGTATTATTTGTGAATTATGTGAATTATGTGATTTATGTGTTTATTTTCTTGATTTTTATAATTTAATGAATTAAGAATGAAATAAGCGTCAAAATTAAAGTGTGAGATACACTCGATATCCTTGCATAAAGTTGTAGTGGTCGAAACAAGGATTCCGGAGATATAAGGAATGCCAAAATCCGAGTTATAACGAAGAAGTTATAACATGTCGAAGTTTCGAGACAGAACCGGCACAACGCCGAGTGACGTAAAATATGAATTTACGTTAGAGCAATATTTAGCCTTAGTGATCTAAACGAGAATCGAAGATCTCGTTGTTAGTATCAAAGCGATAAAAAGTTAGGCGAGAACGGACGTCGAACGAAGAAGTTATGAATTTATAACGAAATTTTCTGTCCCGGCCTATTAAAAATAAACAATAAAAAAATAAATTCAAAATTAGCCGACGGAGTCTAAACGAAAGTTGTAGATCGTAGTCTCACCTTTCCGTGGATATAAAGAACGTCGAAAACGGAGTTCGTATGAAGAAGATATGAATTTCCGAAGTTTATTAATTAATTTATAATTATTTTTAATTCAAATTCGGAAGCATTATCCGAAGGCGAGTCACGGATCTTATCCGACTTACGCGCCGCGTAAGTGCGTACGCCCCGCGTACTCCGAAAATGTCGACATCGCAGCAAGTGGCTTCGGATGACGCAAGCGCTTACGTTTCTGAGGCAGTACGCCCCGCGTACTGGCGTACGCCCCGCGTACTTGCGAGGTTCAGCAACTATAAAAGGAGGTCCGAAGCAGCCGAGTTTTCTTTTACAAATTCTTCATTTTCTCTCATCTTTTGCCTCGATTTGCGTGCCGATTCCATCCCGAAGCCCCGGTAATATTCCCGAGTCCCGAAGCGAGTCCCG